AAATAAATAATATCTAATCCTAGTATAAGTGGTAAAAAATGAAAATGAAAATAAATAAATAAAAGATCAATATTTAAAGTAATTATTGTTTACCTCGTTATTTATAAATTAATTTTTGGTGAAGTAAATGTTTATAAAAAGTTTTTAAAACTATATTGTAATTGGAGTTTTAAGTTGGTAATCAAAGTTTTCAAATAAGGTTCAGCCCCACCCGGTTACCCTCGCTGTTATTTATATAACTTTTTAGGCATGAATTAAAGGTAATATTAAATTATAAGTTGAATGCCTGATAAAAGTCTATTTTAGGCGTTTCTCTCTACCGTTCCCTGTTTAGAGTGCAGTCGTGTTATGCCTATCAATGCTATTACCAAACATACCATTAATATAATGTTCTAAACGCTGCACTAATTCTGCATTTATTGATGTTTTTTCACATCATTTCCCTCTCTCTATATATTCTGTTCTCTTGTATTATATATTCTATTATTGAAAGTATGTCTCGATATTTGTCACACAATTCATGAGATAATGACTTTCAAAATGTTTTTCTAATATACCGTACATTTATCTGTTATAAACATCTGCTCTCTCTCTCTCTCTCTCTCTCTCTCTCTCTCTATCCTAATATAAAATGCAAATTAATTAGAATTTTGATAATACTAGGAAAAATATTATTTGTTTTTTATTCATTTACAATATTTCTAGTACATAAATTTGTTTTCATAACTTGTTATTCTCGAAGTATATCAAAGATTTAAGTGTTTTGCTTATGCCTTATATAATATTACGGTTTCATTTTACTAATTAGACTAATATACTTATCTAAAATTCATATCTGTGTCTGACATATGGTTAAATCCGTGTCTCATATTGTGATGAGTTGTTTGTTTGTGTTTTGGTTTCATATGGAAATCGATAGGCATTTATAGAGACGGGTTAGTACAGCGCGGTTAAGCCATTCACCACAAACATGCGCCTAATGTTCACAAATATCTCCGTATATACGGTACTATTGAAGTTAACCCGAAGTACCGGTAGTTTGTCTGACCCGCAAACTAACGGTAAGTTTATATGATTTAGAAATAGTATGTTTTATATTGTTTTCAAACAAACTTTGCTAATGAAAACCTATCAACGATATAAAAGTGTTTAATAAATACTTTTTTTTGTGATGACAATTATTGGTTTTATTGATTGTCTAACATTTTAGTATTGATTATTAGCTATAGTTTGTAGTTTTACTATAAATACTAATAGTCAACAACTCTTGAAAGCAACTCTAATTACCGTAAATGTAATTTACTTTTTTTTATTGCAATTGCTTTTAACGCTATAAAAATTTTCCCATTAATTAAATTGTTATTGAATTAACTATTTTTATTAGATATTTGCAAACATTTGTTACAATAATCTTATTATTATCTCATTTGAATTAATTATATTTCAATTATAACCATGTATAGAAAATTAGTTTTTAATTACATTTCCTTATTCTATGTATAATAACTTGTTTATTAGAGTATTTGCCTGTAGTTTAGTGTTTTTATGTTATTCACTGATTTCTGAATACCTTAAAAGTTAATAATAAGTTATATAACAATCCTGCGCTAAACTACAGAATATCTCCGGAATATTCCTAATGAATACTCCCTTTATATTATCATTGATTTTGAAACTTTTTAATAGTTATAACTTATATTTTGTGTGACTTTTATAATTTTTACATTATAACTTTTAAATTATAACAATCATTTTCATTGTATGTATCTAAAGTTGTTATGTTTTAAACTTTTTTGTGTTTAAATCTTTGAAAACATTTGAGTTTTATTTAACAGTATTTAAAAAAGGATTATATTTTTGATGAGAAATACAGTAGTTAGTGAACTCGTAGTCCACTACGGAATGCAATGTAATGTCCTGTAGTTTTGAATACAATTGCTTTCATAGCAAATAGTAACCTATATATGGGTCAATACTTAAGACAATGTTTAAGTGAAAGTTTATGACATTTATGGCTATTTTTGGGTACAATTTCAGTATTGAAAGCAATTTCTATCGAATATGTGTTAAAAATAAAAATAATTAAATTAACAATAAGTTTAAAATAGGTTTACATGAAGTGATTCTTGGAATACTTTACATGTATTTCTACATAAATGTTAATTGAATTAATAAATGATAAAAACATAAAACTATAAAATTTGTTTTAAATCTAAATTTATATTTTTCTAATAAATTTTAATTATTGCATTGATCGGAGTTTTATTTATTACAAATATAACATATTCTTAAATAGATATTCATAAATATTTTTAATTTTTAGATAAATTATGCTGTATTTAATTGATATCAATGTTAGAAAGCCATTGAAAAGTGCATAGGATTTTCTAATTGAAACCATTCGTTCAAATCTAACATAAGGGTCCATAAGATAGGCTTTTTGATCAGTAATTAACGACTTAATGGATCAGTAGTTGCCATCTATTATACCAATTATTAATTAGTTTTTTTTTTGTGATTTACGTGTTTTCACAAATTTAGCTGTTGATGGGACCTCTGCTGCCATCTATGGGTCACATAATTGTTCCAAAAAAGTAGAAAATATTGAAAGTATTGATTACAAACCCTTAAGTTTATGATAACTATATACAGTTTTCGTTTGGTTCCTTTTCATATACATTACTCAATGTGTTCATCGTATGAAAAGGCAGTTTGGAGAAACAGATCTGTTGTGAACTGTTTTGAGAGTTTTGTATAAAAAAAGCTTGAATGAGAAAATCCTATGCACTTCTCAATGGCTTTTTAACATTAAAACATATCCTTTGAACAGGATAATTTATTTGAAAGTAAATACATTTAATATTTATAAAATGTGTGATTTTAAATTGCTTAATTAACCAAGTTCAGTATTATATAAAAATGATTTATAATTTTGTGTCAATGAATGAATGAACCAAAACTTAGGCAAAAGTTAGGCAAACACTGCAATCATTGCAAACATAAGGAGTGGGCGGTGGACCCGGAGGTTGATATTAGATGAGATGTTTTTTAGACTCTTGGGACCAGACTGTTGTTGACCAGGATTAGTTTTAGAATTGTTTATGAAAATTTGGTTTTTATTTTTCATTTTTAAAAATTCTGATTAGTTTTGAAAGTAATTTTTTAGGCAAAAACATAAAATCAATTTTCCGCTCATTTATTATTCAACGCTTTTTACATGTCTTTTAATAATAGCGTATTTTTGTTTAGACATGTCTTGAGGCCGGGAATCGATTTCTTGGCATTCAGTAGACATCATACGCGAGACTCAACGCGATTTGTACCATAAGTTTGAGCGAAAATTGTTTTTATGGTTTTAGTTATTACTTATGTTTGTCTCAATACACGAGCCGTATATTGGACTCACTTTTTTTTGCGGATCTCTAATCTCTTTTCGATTCTAATCTTATTATTGGATTTCTCTGTGTATTTCACATCAGATTAGATTTGTGTTTAAATTTCAGTCACAAGTATTTTTCTTAAACTATCGATTTTGTAATCCTAATGCTTTCCGCTATAAATACAGTATAACTTATATTATATAAGAAATTGTTTTTCATTTTTCACTCAATAGTGCTATTTTGAGTGAAACTAATTGTTTTCGTTTGAAATTTATTGTCTTTTTTATAAGTGTTTACAGCAAAAGGATTTAAACAATTGTCTTCATCTGTTGTCTCCTCTGGTCTCGACGTCAACGGATCCGGCGATGAATTAAACCAATTATTTATTTAAATATTAATGTTTTTATATAAAATAAGCCATAATTTATCGGAGATAAATAAAAATTATGATAAATATTAATTAAGTTTTATGAGATTATGGGTATTTTGTATGTTAAAATTATAATATTATTCTACAATGTTATTTATACTGTACTGTACAAGAATTTGTATGTTGTATGTATATTTATATTACTTTATAGTAATAAATGTAATGAATATTCTGTATTAGAATTATAGATTCAATAATAAAAGTTCGGAAAAATCTGAACATATTTTTAATAAATCTACTGTAAGACACGATTTATTGTAAATCGTAAACATATTTATATAAGTATTACAAAAAAACAATTAATTTTCTTTATGCAATTTTTATTAAAAATATTATTCAATTGGAATTCTGGGAATAATAATAATAATAGTACAATATTTTAAATCTAATATTAAAATTCTTAGAGCTTCAAAAATATTTATATGTTTTCTTATAAAAAGTTATATAAGTTATATAACATTTACATTTCATTTCTCTCTCATATATACCGCCCACTGATTGCATAACAGCTTCTCTATTGTCTTATATAATAATTATGAGAAAAATTTGTCATAAACTTAATGTTCAGAAAATGTCAAACGTCTCGAGTCTCGCGTTTCACAGCAAATACTTATGAGAGAGAAATCAAATAAAGTAAAAGAAATTTTTGGTTTTTAATCGCAGAAAATATTTAACTAATAATAAATGAATATAAATATTTTTAAAATAAAATAAAACTTCATAAACGCATAGAAAGCAATCGATAAAAAGTAATACTGTACAGGCATATATTATATATATATTTTATTTTTCCACAATAAACTAATTATGACACCAATGATACGAATTACTTACTCGCGAGTGAGGCCGACCACCAAACTGTCCAATACTAGTGTTAATCAGCGCCCATACCTCAAGCCATGCCCATTAAGAAAACCCGTTGCCCTAAATATGAGAATCAACATAAAAAACAACTTTTATTTTTTGATTGTAATGATTATTATTATTCACACAAATTCTTGTCTCACTTTTCAATTCATTTAATCGAGTGTTGACTATACACGAGATGCAGGACTTTGCGGTCCATTAATAACACACATATACTAACCGTACGTTCGCTGCAAACACTGAGCCATTCATTATCACAATTATTGTTACGATTTGTAGATAATTAATAAAAAACAAAAAACTTGTGCCAAACAAACAACAAAATGTACGCAAAAGCGCCCATAAGTCTCATCATCCAAATGATGACCGTATCGCTGGTGTCCATCGAAAGGCAACTAAACTACGACAGTCTGCCCTCCAAGGAGTGGCAGTCGGAGTACGACTATGTGGTGATCGGGTCGGGCACTGGCGGGGGTATAGTGGCCGGTCGACTGGCCGAAAACCCACATAACACTGTCCTAGTACTGGAGGCCGGGGTAACCCAGAGGGTGACCAGTGATATACCGGCCAACGCGGACGGCCTACTCGATTCACGTATCGACTGGCGATTCCGTACTGAGCCTCAACAGTACTTCACGGGAGTGGGACTGGACTACAATATGGGCAAACTTTTAGGCGGCTCCTCGTCCTTCAATGGTATGCACTATAATCGGGGTAATCGACGCCATTATGACGAGTGGGCCCAGAAGTACGGCGCCGTCGGCTGGAGCTATGAGGAGCTTTTGCCCTATTGGCTGAAGTCGGAGAATAATACCGATCCCGCTATAGTGGCCGCCAATCCCGGACTACACGGAACTACTGGCCCACTGGTGGTGTCATCCGACTTGAATCCCAGGCCAGTGATCCAGTTGCACGAACAGGCGGTCACCGAATGGGTCAGTAGTACCTGTAGTTTGTGAATGATTTTGAGATAATCAAGGTCTTAAATTGTATAAATGTTTGCTATAGGGTTTCCAAAGGGTGGACATAAACGGGCCCCGACAGGCGGGCACAATGATAGCCCAGTCCAACATCGACGCCGGCACTCGTCAGAGTGTGGCCACAGCCTACCTGACCCCCAGACCCAAAAACATGGACATACTTACCGAGGCATATGTCACACAAATACTGTTCACCAAAACACATGAAGGGTTGACGGCTACTGGTGTTAAGTTTGATAAGAAGGGACAGTCGCATGTAGTTACGGCCCGCAAGGAAGTCATACTCTCTGCCGGTATTATTCATTTTGTTTGATAATAAAAACACTAACCTCTGACCCCCTCCTACAGGTATGGTTATGACCCCTGCGCTACTCATGTTGTCTGGCATTGGCCACAAAGAGCACTTGGATAAAGTGGGCATCGACACCCTTGTGGACCTCCCTGTGGGCGACAACATCCAGGACCACCCAGCCTCCACCATACACACCATAATCGACCCGCGAATTACCGGTCCGCCCGGCGCCGGTCTAAACACCCAACAGCTGTTCCAACTGTTCCACAACGGCACGGGTCCCTTATCCCGGGGCACAAACTCCATGACATACCTGAGCTCAGCGCACAATCCCGACCCCGAGTGGCCCAACATATTCTTCTACTCGACCGCCCGTTTCAATGGGGATCTGGCGGTTATGGTCAATGAGTTCCCGTCCAATACGGCCGCCTGGAGGGAGTACTTCGGTGTCTACAATCGCACCTTTATCTTGGAATCGTCGCCTCACCTGTTCATATGTCGCAGCTATGGCACCGTGAGGTTGGCCTCGAAGGACCCGTACGCCCACCCCATCATTGACCCCCGGATGCTGTCCGACCCGCAAGATTACGCCGAAATGGTAGAGATCACGCGATTTGTGCTCAAGTTTTTGCTCACCTCCTCCTTCGCCAAATGGATTCAATTCACACCTAATCCCATACCCGGCTGTCAGTACTGTCCCAAAGAGGTGCCCCTTTGGGAGTGCGATCAATACATAAACTGTCTGATCCGTATGACCGGTAAGTCTGGTTATCATTACGGCGGAGGTGCCCGTATGGGTGATCCTAAGCGACCCGACACAGTAGTCGACCCGAGGCTTAGGGTAAAACAGGTGTCCCGGTTGAGGGTATGCGACGCCTCTGTGATGCCGGCGCTGCCCAACTCTAACACAAACGCCGCGGTTATAGCTATTGGCGAAAAGTGCGCAGATATGATAGGCCAGGATAATGGTGGACATGGAGGGAATAGAGGCCTACGTGTCAGTGCTACTCATGACACAGAGTATGGTTATAACGGAGGGTATGGCCACCGGTTGGAAGTTAGTGGTGATAGTCAATGGTATAGAGAATATTAAGTATGGGTTTAATGTTGTTGTATTGAAAATCATGTTATCGTTTCACTGATTAACACATATTTTGTAAAACGGATTCATAAACTAATTGAATAACACTTTCCATACACTGATAATTAGTATTTAGGAAAATATATTTTGTTATAAACAAAATAAAATAAAATGATTTAATAAAAATATTCATTGTAATTATTAATATTAATTAATTATAAGATTGCTTCAGAGTTAATTATAATATTAAGTTACATGCCTTGAATGTATTGATTATTAAATTATTTTATACATTTATGTGTGAAAAGTTGTTTTGTTACAATATTTTAGTTTTCTATCATTTTATAGACAAAACTAATAAAATGTAATTTATTTATAAAGTAAATATAAATAAAATGAAATGAAAATGCTGTTTATCAGATCAGATGTGTTATTGGTCTTAATGTTTAAACCTTAAAATAAATTGCATAAAACAAATAAAAGTAGTTTTAATCTTAATTTTATTTTACATTTAATTTAAACTACAAATTCAAATGTATGCTTAATGGTTATTTGTAGGATTACTAATTTAAATATAGATTAATTGTGGTTAAACAAACTGAGATTAACATAGATCTATAATGAATTACTACTAATGATTATGTCTGGGATTAAGTGAATATTCATTTCTATTAAAATTAATTTAATTCACATAACATTTGTAAATTAATTTTACTATTTTTAGATACTGTGCATAATTAATAGTTACGTGAATTTAATTAAATAAAATTATATTTAGATACTTTTAATAATGCTAAAATGTAAATTAATATTAAAATACTGTTTTCAATTAATTAATTTGATATTAATTTAATTAAGTAAAATAAAACCACAACATTAATAAATTTAATTTTTGGAAATAAAGTAACAAAGTCAAATATTATTAATAATAATGTTGATAGATATTCTATCAATATACTAAATTACTAATATTTTTCAATCAATGTTTTTAATTATACCGTAATTAATAATATTTAATATTTTTAATAATATTATTCAATATTATGATCCACTGATGCTATTTATTAAATTAGCCACATACTATTGATATTAACCACAAAACATGAAAGTTATGAAACATTTGATAGTATCCAATATTTAACATATAAATTATTATTTACAAAATTAGGTAAAATAAAAATCAAATATTTAAATATTATAAAATTTAAATGATTGCTTAATACAGTATAATATTTTCCTTAAATGATAACAAATTTGAAAAATCGTTTATATAAATGATCAATATCGCAAACAACCAGTTCCTGTAAGGATTGACTTAAATTTAAGCCAAATCTATCAATAATTGAATATAAAAATAAATAAAATAAATACAAAACTGTTTTTAATTAATATATACTTTAATGGCATAATATGAGATTAAAGAGATATAAAAATGAAATTTAACTGTAGTTCTCATACTTTTGCACAAAAAAGTACACAATTTTTATTTGTTTTTAATATTAATTTTTATTCAAAGGGTGTGGAGTTCAAGTGGTTTTGTTATACTTACTTTTAATTATTATCTAATGTTGTAATCCTTTCAGTAATATATATGGTATACAGGTATTTAAATTATAACATTACTTATGATATGTGTATCAAAATTATTATATATTTTTATAATGTTTTTATTTGCCTTTTTTGTACCGGTAGTATTTATTCTGTAATCATTACATTAAGTATAGTATTATTAAATGTTTTAATATTTGTAATAATCAAACTAAAATTGTAAAAATTAAAATTTCAATAATAATAATTAAATTATCTGTGCAAATATTTTGATATGAAATTGTAGTTTTTAAATTATGTTAAATGAGATTAAACTTGATTTTAAGTTTTAACCCAAAAGAGGTATTTATAATATCACTTAATTTCATTATAAATAAATTTTAGGGTATTTTTCCAAAAAATAACTAAAAGTAAGATTACATTATTTTAACCGATAGCTATATTCTGAGTTAAATACTATATTTTATTGATTTCAGTGAACTTTAAAGTAAAATATCACATAAATATGTTGAAATTTCTAAAAGTATAACATTAAAAGAAAATGAAATATATTACAAAACAAATGTTTTTTGTTTTACTTTTACAATACTGTATGTTGTATTCATATGAAAATATGTATTCCAGACAATAGTTTTGATTCTGATATTTCTATTGTGTATTAACCTCAAGAAAAACACAATTTAATCATAAATTCTGTAAATATATTATCAGTTTATGTGATTTATTTTCATATGGGATTTAAAATGGATAAAACCCTACTGAAAGCATAATAATAAAACTTTTAACTTTTTGTTGTAAGTTTTACATAAGTTTTATGGAGTTTTGATAGTCAAATATAATTGAATGCTTAGTTAAGTTATCCATTAGACATGCAAATGTGTGCTAATTAATACACATAATTTTAAATATTATTTTATTACTTATAAAATTGCTTATAAAGAAAACTTGGAAATGTTTAAGTAATTTTTTTACTGCAAACTAAAATTTATCAAAATTTAAATTCAATTTTTGTATTGATATTAAGGGCAAGGCAAAATCTATATAAAATTATTTTTGTTTAATAAAATAATTTATTATAATTAAGTAGTTTTTATTTATTGTAAGACGTTTTAAATTGCATTTAGTTTGGCTGCACTTTATATGATTCAGATTCAATAAATGATTGATTTTTATATAAATATTTTATTATCGATTTGATACAGACTTTGAGTGTAAATCAATATTTCTCGCAAAATATAAAATCATAAGACATTTATTGGAAAATACTTTTTATTTCGCAAATAATTATCGCATTTGTGTCTCATTAGAAACTGAATGCTCAGACACATTTGCAACAAACAAAACAAAAACAGTTCAATAATTTAATTGATAATAAAAGC